GATGCGATGGCGATCTGTGTGGCGACGCCTTCGCAGCTTCCTCTGGCGTCCGACCTGGGGAGCAGCGCCTTGACTTCGCGGACGGTTTCCGCGTGACGTCTGGTGGTCTGAGTCTGCATCTGAGGACGAGGCCGAGATGATGACGATCTCTCCGTCTTCGCGAAGGCCTTCGCGACGACTGTACATCTGCGTCCTTCCGCTGAGGTGGTCTGTGACTTCCTTCTCGAAGGCTGCATCGTCGTGGCTGCTACGCTGACTGGGGTTGCCTCTGGGGTATCGTCTATGCTGCTTTCGGGCCCTGGGCTGGCTGCTTCCCGACTGTAGTGGCCCTCCATCATGGTCATGATCTGCCGCGATCATGTCGTCTGGGATGGTCTGCGACGAAGTAGTCGGTGCCCTCTCTGCGATGACAGCTGCTGACCCCTCAATGAAGTCGTCTGACATCAGTGTAGAGGCATCAGGCTGCATGGCGATCTCTGCTGATGTCACTGTAGCTGTCACCGGTCGCTTCTTCTGGCGTGACGTCAGGGATGATGATCGGCTGATCATCGTAGAGGCCCAGTTCGGGCGGCTGGAACAATCTCGGCTGAGAAAGTTCTTTTGACGACTTCAGTGGATTTCCCTTTGGAAGGATGACGCTGCCCTGGGTGTCCTCGAAGTCTGGCGCGTTGAGAAGAGCGCCGAGGCCCTCTTGGACTTTATCTGCGATGCCGGGACGTCTGGGGAGGCAGGTCGCTTCTTCGCGGTGGCGGACTGCATCCCGCGCCATCTTCCAGCGGAGTCTCTTAGCGTAGAACACCAGGCGGGAGAGGTCTATCGACAGCAGCTGACTGGAAGGGGAATCCGATGTATCGGCCATGTCTAACCCTTGTTTTGCGTGACCTATCTGCGGTGCGTCTCACGCACGCAAAGATATTTATGAAAAGCAGAATTGGATAGATTAATGCAGTAACTGCAATCGCGTGTATCAAGCACAATTAAGGCGTAGAACAACTAGGGCATAATACATGCGGGTCAGCAATTGAAAACGTAAATTGCAAATCGTACAGATTTTCATCAACGTAAAACTAGCTGAACAATCACGAACTCACGTGAATAAACAGTAGAAATAACGATTAAATATCAATGCAAATTAATGAAGGATACTAGCTATACCTCTATAGTAACCTATAAGAGGTAATAAACTAAGAGTGAGTGAGTTTAGTTTTTTCGCCGCACTCAGCAATATTCAGCTATATGGCGGTCTGTAAATAATCGAGTCTGGACCAGACAATCCAGTGATCAACAGCATGAGCATCGATCTGCGCAATTGGGAACCGATGACATTTGTCAACCAAGTCAAAGCGAAACTGACCACCCGATCCGTTAATTACGACAAGATAGTAAGCCTTGTTATAGCAAGCACATGGGTTGCTGAAGACCTATTCTACCCCGGATTAATAATAAACTAAGAAAAGCAAAGGATATAGTGTGTAAGGAGACACAGGCTCTCACATCCTGCTCACTGGGCTAAGAAGGAGAGAGTGAAGCATGGGGGCCAGAGGGTGGCGACACCTGTTCCCGCCAGGGGAAACAAAGGGGAGCAACTCGTGGTGAGTACCAATTAGTGATTTTATTTTGAAGGGAGCTTCAAATAAGGAGATACAAGTGTTCCACTATGTTCGCAGGAAGAGGAGGACAAGCAAAAGAGCATGAGTCAGGATAAGGAAAAATTTATCACTGTTGCTGCATTATGATATGAGCTTATAACCATGGAGCTGTTGAAGTAAAAGAGCATGTACTTCCGGTCGAAAAGTAAACTTTGGAACCCGGCACATCATAGAGGCAGAGCTATGAGGAGCCGGAACACATGTTTCCAGATGTCGTGACGTATGGACCCCCAAGAAATAACCAATAACATCAGAAACGCAGTAGTCACCAATGTACGGGTGTATGGATAATTCAAGGGCCTCTGGAGTAGGGAGTGTCCAGTCGTGTGGATCTTGAGCTTCATTTGCCCCTGCTTCTGTCACCCTTGAAGGGGACGCAGCTACGTTCATATCCTCCCTTGTCGATATGAGACTTGTCACCACGTCTCCAACCATGGATAGGAGCCTGATTCCAAGCCCACCTAACTGTGTGGCATCGAGGCAATAGTAGGTACTGGATTCATGTGATGAGGGATGTTGGACTTGCTGGAAGGCCGTCAACAATATCTTCCTCTGAGGAAAGTCGCACACTGTTTGATAGACGTCCTTGATCTCGTTATTAAATATGGTAGTCAAGGACTAGGGTTGGCCAGATCAAGTCCACCGAAAATTTTAATCCCAACCGGAAAAGGGGAGGGAAATCCTTGACCTCAAATAACACATGCATTGGCGAGATCTGCCCGTAAGTGTTCGCCAAGGACAGTGAGGACCATCCACTACCAAGCCATCATAGAAGCGAGGTGACGATCCTGTACGGATTCATCTCAGGTCAGGTCTGGAGAGACAGTGTTAATAGCCGAAGCTAAGTTTGAGATAGGATGAAACATCCGTGTGAGTTCCAAATCAAGGGCTGTCATCCCTTGAGACTAACACCTTGTAAGACGCACTGTATGAAGAAAACTGTCACGCGCTTAATTTCTTGACAATTGATTGCGTAAATGCCAAAATAATCTCCGAGGGCAAGATGTGTTTGTCTCCCAACGTAGGGGCTATCAGAGACAGTGGCGCAACCAACAGCTGTCGAACGCTTGAAGATGTTGGGAGGTGGTGACACAGTATGTTAAACACTGGAGGCACTGGATATAGTGGAGGCATCATATAGATGCTGAATCTGGTAAAAAACGCCACTGGAACACAGTATTCAGAGTCCAACACTGTTCCATCGCAGTGTCTGCCTGCTGGAGTGAGTATGGGTTTATAGGCGCTAGATCTAGTAGAGGCGCCATACAGCTGGTAGCGCCGTACAGGCGCTGCATCTGGTAGAAAAGCCAGACAGGCGCTAGAGTGAGTGAGTATGATGGTATAGGCGTTGGATCTCTAAGAGGCGCCGTACAGCTGCTAGCGCCGTATAGGCGCTATATCTGGTAGAATAAATACGGACAGGGGCTGGAGTGAGTGAGGATGGTTTTATAGGCGCTGTACAGGCACTGGATCTGATAGAACCACTGGAGCGGAGCTGGAGCTGGAGTGAGCAAGTGAGTATGGTGTTATGCGCGCCGTACAAGCGCTGGATCTGGTGGAAACGCCATACAGGCTCTGGAGTGAGTAAGTATGGTTTACAGGCACCATGCAGGCGCTGGATCAGGTAGACCATACATTTGCTGTAGTCGGGAACGAAGCTGGAACAGGTAGGTGTTGCGACGGAGACGCTGACACCAACTGCCGAGGTCGTAGTCGATGTGATAGATGCGCCATACAGGCGTGCAGTTATGAACAGCAGTGGCGCTGTTGCAGTGTATGAACAGGCAGAATGGGCGCTGAAACATCCAGTGACTGCTTGACGTCGGTCCTGCTAACTAGGTCAAGAAACTCTGGTTGCAATGGCTGTGCCAGAAAACATAGAGTTAGTGGACATCAGTGGCGTGGCAAGTATCTGTGTACTTGCCCTAGGCGACGTCGGTGTTGGACTTGGCGCTTCATAGACGGTAAAAAAGGTATTAAGATGATATATTGAGCAACAAGCACATTCATTCATGTGAAAAAAAACGGGGAGAAAACAGAAAAGTGCAATTCAAACAATATGAATGAAGGCACTTATGAGATACCCCGCCTTACAAACTATACAGCGCGTGCCGTATAGAAACTGCAACATAGCAGAAAACCCCAGCAAACACGGTGAAAAAAATTCAATAGCAATGAGGAACACACTGGGAAACAGTATAATAGTAATGGGGTATAACAGCATAATGGAGAACAAACGTCTCACAAATCCTGACAAACACTGCAGACCAGAATTAAGGCTTAATAATAATATACGATAATAGTAGAACAAATAAGCATGAGCCAAGAACAAGCCACTACGAATACATCGAAGCCACGTGTTCTGAATGGCGAAGTGACGAAGTGACCGATAATAGTGATGAAAAATTATCGTGTTTATTACAAACACCATCACTACAACAGTACTACAAAAAAGACGAAACAGAAGGGTAATACCTACATCCTCTGAAGAATAAAGGAAAACACCCAAAAGTCAGTTTATTATCAATAAACACAATTCATAGGATACAAATCAGTCGAGCTCGCAAACCACGTCTTGCGAGGCATGAGAATAGTACTAATCTGAGGTGGCTGACGTCAATTTCCGGTGATGAGTGCGCAGACGGAGACCAGGAAGTGATCCCTAGACCAGGAAGTGATCACAGTCTACACTTTCAACATCAATCATCTGGCACAGCCATGTTTCGAGTCGTAAGCAATAAGTGCAGGAAGTAAGTAGTGCAGGATTAGATAAATTACTATTTAGTTTTCTAAAAACCTATCATTATCATTATTATTTTTATAGGATATTTATATAGCGCACATATCCACACAACTAGTACATGCTAAAGATCATTGGATGTCAATCTCAACGGCAAAGCGTATTATCAATCTCAACTCCCTGGGGGCATACAACTCTTGCAGCCACTAGGCGCACAAGTTATTGCGGCTTTCCCATCCTTACGAAGTACCATTTTACAACATGCAGTTTCAAACATGACCTGAAAAGTGTACTGCTCCTTGTATATTCACTAAAACACCACGTTGAACATTATTTCAGTTTTATCAGAGTGTTGGCTTGATGTAGCAAGATAGTGATTCATGTCTTACATGTTTTCCACTTTCATGAAACCAATAAGCACCAGTATGTTGATGACAAACCTTGAAACATATTCAAGGCGAATCTGGGATTTGAACCCACCATCATAGGCTTCTGGCGTTCCCAAGGGATGCAACTCTGCACAGAAGAATGCAGTGCCTGAGATAACTGGCAACCAGTGCCCTTTGAGTCTACAAGTAATGGATTATCTGGTTCATCCCTTGGGTCCGTACCTTGTCTGTGTGTCCTATCAGGAACCTTTGCTGTCCACTGGAGACCTTCATGATGACCACAATAGCATGACAAGGGTAGATAATCGCTGACCCATCCAGAGTCCAGACTGCCTGGAGGAGAGGTGGAACATACTTGAATGATTACAGTGCATTATTTGGTTTAAATAACAAGCTACTTCAATAATATCAGTAGCTTAATAAACGTTTAAACACATGCCTTTGTGTTGGACTGCCCATGAACTGTATGACTTGTGAGTGAGTGAGTGAGTGAGTATGGTTCTACGCCGCGTTTAGCAATATTCCAGCAACACCACGGCAGGGGACACCAGAAATGGGCTTCACACATTGTACCCATGTGGGGATTCGAACCCGGGTCTTCGGCATGATGAGCCAACGCTTTTTTAACCACTAGGCTACCCCATCGCCCCATTTACACACTACTAGGCAAGATTGGAACTTCTTTTGTTCTGATCTTTGGATGATAGAACAACAAGTGTTGCCAGCACCGTAAGCTGGATTCAACATGTGAAGCGTGTACTAAAGACAGATGACTAATGAATACCAGTTAAATGGTTCAAATTCTGTTGAATTTAAAAATTACTTATCTCAGTACTAACAGTTAATCAGGTTAGAATGGGGACATTTAATTCACTGAGTATACTATTCCATCCACAAGATGTATGTGTGTATGGCACCTTTCGGTTAAAACTAATAAAAAATGTGTGTGCTAAATGACACACGCAGTAGTATTCCAGTTATGACAGTGGCAGATCTTTCATATATTATTTTTAATTTCAATTTCCATTCATTTTAAGGTTTTAACAACCCTAATTTCTCATTTATTTGAGTCCTGAATAACAAATTACCTCTCTGTATGTGCCACCTCCAAAACCAACAATTCTCTTCAACTTGAGGATAGGATCAGGTTCCAAGGTCTGGAAATAAACAAGTGATGACATGCAGCTGGGGGTGGTTCCATGGGTGGGGTAGAGGTGGTTCCATGGATGGGGTAGAGGTGGTTCATGGGTGGGGTAGAGGTGGTTCCATGGGTGGGGTATAGGTGGTTTCATGGGTGGGGTAGTGGTGGCTTCATGGGTGGGGGTATAGGTGGTTCCATGGGTGGGGTAGTGGTGGTTCCATGGGTGGGGTATAGGTGGTTCCATGGGTGAGGGTATGGTGGTTCCATGGGTGGGGGTATAGGTGGTTCATGGGTGGGGGTATAGGTGGTTCATGGGTGGGGGTATAGATGGTTCATGGGTGGGGTAGTGGTGGTTTCATGGGTGGGGGTATAGGTGGTTCCATGGGTGGGGGGTTGTTTCATGGGTGGGGGTATAGTGGTGGTTCCATGGGTGGGGTATAGGTGGTTTCATATAGGTGGTTCCATGGGTGGGGTATATAGGTGGTGAGTTTCATGGGTGGGGTATAGGTGGTTCATGGGTGGGGGTATAGGTGGTTCCATGGGTGGGGTATAGGTGGTTCCATGGGTGGGGGTATAGGTGGTTCATGGGTGGGGGTATAGTGGTTTCATGGGTGGGGGTATAGGTGGTTTCATGGGTGGGGGTATAGGTGGTTCATGGGTGGGGGGTATAGATGGTCCATGGGTGGGGGTAGTGGTGGTTTCATGGGTGGGGGTATAGGTGGTTCCATGGGTGGGGTATAGGTTGTTTCATGGGTGGGGGTATAGGTGGTTCCATGGGTGGGGTATAGGTGGTTCCATGGGTGGGGTATAGGTGGTTCCATGGGTGGGGGTATAGGTGGTTTCATGGGGTGGGGGTGGTGGTTCATGGGTGGGGGTATAGGTGGTTCCATGGGTGGGGTATTGGTGGTTTCATGGGTGGGGGTATAGGTGGTTCCATGGGTGGGGTAGTGGTGGTTTCCATGGGTGGGGTATAGGTGGTTCCATGGGTGGGGTATTGGTGGTTTCATGGGTGGGGGTATAGGTGGTTTCATGGGTGGGGGTATTGGTGGTTTCATGGGTGGGGGTATAGGTGGTTCCATGGGTGGGGTATTGGTGGTTTCATGGGTGGGGTATAGGTGGTTCCATGGGTGGGGTATAGGTGGTTCCATGGGTGGGGTATAGGTGGTTTCATGGGTGGGGGTGGTGGTTTCATGGGTGGGGGTATTGGTGGTTTCATGGGTGGGGTATTGGTGGTTTCATGGGTGGGGTATAGGTGGTTCCATGGGTGCGGGTATGGTAGGTGGTTTCATGGGTGGGGTATAGGGGGTTCCATGGGTGGGGTGGTGGTTCCATGGGTGGGAGTATAGGTGGTTCCATGGGGGGGTAGTGGTGGTTTCATGGGTGGGGGGGTATAGGTGGTTCCATGGGTTGGGTATTGGTGGTTCCATGGGTGGGGGTATTGGTGGTTCCATGGGTGGGGTATCAGTGGTTTCAAGGGTGGGGTATAAGTGGTTTCATGGGTGGGGGTATAGGTGGTTTCATGGGTGGGGGGTATAGGTGGTTCCATGGGTGGGGTATAGGTGGTTTCATGGGTGGGGTATAGGTGGTGGTTCCATGGGTGGGGTATTGGTGGTTTCATGGGTGGAGGTATAGGTGGTTCCATGGGGTAGTGGTGGTTTCATGGGTGGGGGTATAGGTGGTTTCATGGGTGGGGGTATTGGTGGTTCCATGGGTGGGGTATAGGTGGTTCCATGGGTGGGGTATTGGTGGTGGTTTCATGGGTGGGGTAGTGGTGGTTCCATGGGGGTAGTGGTGGTTCCATGGGGGGGTGTGGTGGTTTCATGGGTGGGGTAGTGGTGGTTTCCATGGGTGGGGGTATAGGTGGTTCCATGGGTGGGGTATAGGTGGTTCATGGGTGGAGGTATAGGTGGTTCCATGGGGGTATAGGTGGTTTTCATGGGTGGGGGGTATAGGTGGTTCCATGGGTGGGGTAGTGGTGGTTTCATGGGTGGGGAGTAAAGGTGGTTTCATGGGTGGGGGGTATAGGTGGTTTCATGGGTGGGGGGTATAGGTGGTTCCATAGGTGGTGGGTGAGGTAGTGGTGGTTCCATGGGTGGGGGGTATAGGTGGTTCCATGGGTAGTGGGGTTTCATGGGTGGGGTGGTGGTTTCATGGGTGGGGGTATGGTGGTTTCATGGGTGGGGGTATAGGTGGTTTCATGGGGGGGTAGTGGTGGTTTCATGGGTGGGGGTATAGTGGTTTCATGGGTGGGGTATATGGTGGTTCATGGGTGGGGGTATTGGTGGTTCCATGGGTGGGGGTATTGGTGGTTCATTGGTGGGGGTATTGGTGGTTCAATGGGTGGGGGATTGGTGGTTCAACATAAAGAACTCAATGAATACTTTTGTTTCAAAAGTACCATTGTCTGATTGAAATACCCATGTACATCTTAGTCAGAATGTCAAGAGGGCCATATTGTGTCACACTCATGGTTAGAAATAGAAAAACTTGAACATCCCTGGACTTGGATACTGGAGCTAAAAAAAAGGAACCCCCACCCCTACTCCTGCTTCTGCATCTCTATTCAATTTCACAAGCTTTCAAAAATCATGTAAGTCTGCTAACCCAAGGGTACTAGTGCTGAGAATAAGGAAAAATCCAATGACAGTAGTCCTCTATTACTAGCAGCTATTGCGGGCAATAATTCTGATCCAGTTCCACAATGCTTCTACAAACTCCATAAAAATGACAGAAAATGGCAACATAGTAAACCTTTTAGTCTTCATCCCACTACAAAGTCTAAGAACTTGTGTAATATGGTTTCCACTAATCGTGTGGACTAGTCTTTAAAGAATGAATTTCTAGAAATGACTGGACGGGGCAAATGCTGACTCGATGCATGCTGACATCCTCCAGTCTGACATCCTCACCTTGTATGTTGGTTTGGGAGGCAGGTATGTAGCCGAGTCAGACACTCCAATGTGTACACCCTGAAATACACCAGACACAGTTAGCTCCAGAGTGAGTGAGTGAGTGACTTTAGTTTTACGCTGCTTTTAGCAGTATTCCAGCAATATCACGGCTGGGGACACCAGAAATGGGCTTCACACATTGTACCCATGTGGGGAATCGAACCCGAGTCTTCGGCATGATGAACGAACACTTTAACCACTAGGCTACCCCACCGCCCCAGGTAGCTCCAGAAACAAAGTACATATGCATGTTGAAAGAATACATGTTTATTTACCTTTTTATGTAGATGAATTAGCAATTAGCCATAACTTTAGCCACAAACACAATATGTCTTGAGTGAAGTCCTCATTCCACATTAAGAAGCAGGACTTGGAACCATAACTGTCTCCAGCAACTGTTATAGTACTGGATGCATGATAGTTGTGGAAAGATCACTACAACTTTAGGCTTGTTAGATGATCCAAAGGGCCAACACCATGTTTTACAATGTTCATGACACAACACCTGTGTATTCTATAAAAATGAGTGAGTGTGTGAGTGAGTTTAGTTTTACGCCACACTCAGCAATATTCCAGCTTTATGGCGGCGGTCTGTAAATATTCGAGTCTGGACCACACAATCCAGTGATCAACAGCATGAGCATCGATCTGCACAATTGGGAACCGATGACATGACAAGTCAGCAAGCCTGACCACCCGATCCCATTAGTCGCCTCTAACGACAAGCATAGTCGCCTTTTGTGGCAAGCATGGGTTGCTGAAGACCTATTCTACCCCGGATCTTCACGGGTCGTATTCTATAAAATGTCATCATGAATTTGTGAGGATGTACAACACTGTTCCCACCTCTCCCTGTCTGTGTCTGTCTCTGTGTCTGTCTCTGTGGTGCAGCACCAGATCCTCATCCGGATGAGCGAAGATGTGCACCTCACCACCCTTATCTTGCTGAATTGATAGATTGTCCAGTCCAACAGATGGAAGCTCTGACGATGACAGTCTGCCGACGTGGTTTCTGAACACAAAACAGATTCAACTGCTACTGTGAGAGACTGGCAGATACCGATCAGGGCCCACTTGTACAAAGCGATCTTAGCGCTACGACTATCTGAAGCCTACTAGTATGTTGGAGAATGGGAGTTACAATCATTGTAGCGCTAAGATCGCTTTGTGATAGTGGGCCCAGGATGGTGCAGGTTCGCTCACTACCTGACACCACCAGCCTTACACGTTATCATCTTATGGGTAAACCTGTCATGCATTTTTGTTCACTTCCTTGATGGTGCACCACATTCTCAAAACCATGGATCAATCTCTGTTACAGGAATTGTTATTCTTTTATTAATACCATTTATTACACATCATTTGAAAAACAACATTTCTAGAGTTGCACCATCTTGAATAACAAGAAATGGAAAAAAGGTAAGTTTTTATACAACAGGTATCAGATTCCAAAAATATTAAATGCATAGGCTTGAATGGCTGTAATATGAATGGATTATTGGTAAAAGCGGCATAATACCATACTCACTCACTCACCCAACCCCACACCTCACTCACTTTACTATCTACGCTTAAAACTTTGTTATGGGGAGAAAACAGGTTGAGACCTTAATATAAGTGTAAATCTTAGATAAATCCAGGAGGAGAGGGGAGGAGATATTTTCAATTTTTCATTACTTTTTGGAGGCTGCCATCAATGCCCATTATTCACCCTACAGGAACTGATAATGTGTTACAGAACACATTTGTACACAAATACAGTCCACCCCTCTCTCCTCCCTAAATCATGGTTTTGCAGGAATGTGTGATATTGTGCAAATCTTAAGATCACATAGATTTATATCTGTACAAGAGTTTCTCTATGTTTAGGCTTCCATTTTCCATTCCAACTACATGTACTCACATCTCGGGGGCTGGTCAGTTTGTGAATCATGGACACTCTCTCAGACACACATTTACTGACATCTACTGTTCGGGGGGCTATCCGCTTGGGGCTGGGTCCTCGCACATTGTCTGTGAAAGGTATGATCATATTAGTCTCAAGGTGTGTCCCGGTAAATGATGGTATCATCCTGTTTACTGGTAACTGTTTCAATTTTTATCAAAATTTACAATATTAAAATGTAGACTGAATGTTGTTACAAGCCTGTACATTAAACTTTACAATTGCAATAAATTATTATGAAAAATATGGTACTATTCAACACCAGATTTCACTGTATTATGTATTTGTAAATATTAGTACAGCAGGTAAACAAATACAAATTATGCACACACCATTCTTGTTACCATGGTTACTGTTGGTCTCTAAAGTTTGGATAGAATCGTGTGGCTTCTTCTTTCCATCAGAAGGAAACCTGAAATACATGTTCCAGTCTCAACTTCAGTTAGTTTCAAGCCTGACTTGAGTGAATCACCTAATCATGTAATTCATACAAGACAAACCTATACTAAAAGTTGCATGCACAGATTGACATTCATGCCAGTGAAACAGTCATATAAATTCATTTAGTCCTATAAATGCATGACATACAGGTATCGTTGTCAAATCAACAAAAGACATTTTACAAAATGCCCTAGAAAGTATTTAGATGATCCATGCATCATATCTTCCTTTCTAGACTTTGTCAGATGCATGTTTGTTTAATTCAGCAATGAGACAAATAGCAGCACCATGCCTACCTGATAAGGTCATAATTATCGTGCCAGTCATCTCCCTTGAAAAGTGGATATGCCATTTCTCTTGGCATTGGTGTGATTCCATGTCCAAGCAGCCCCTTCTTTTTGGCTTCTTCCAGAGTCATACCTACACAGTTCAAACAGCTCATCACAACTACTTCCACCTTAATCACCAGTAGCAATGTACGCTCCAACCAATACAGACACCACCCTTTTGACCCCCAGGGTCTGCATAACTTATGAAATGTGGAACTCTTTGGAAAGCACTTTGAATGTTCTACACTCAACAATAATACAAAATGAAAACATATGGCTAAAATGTGTTAAGAAGGAAGACAAAGATGTTTTCAGGAATCAGTTTTATAAATATTAGAAAAAGGGCAGGTGATTGATATAAAGACAACACAAACATAAGATGAAATATTTATCTTTAGTCTCAGCTTGCTACAAGTCTTTCTCCTGACATGTTTGAAGTTATAACAATATGCTCCATTAAAACCTCTGAAATCATTTGATGCCTTTTATCCTCAGCTTTTTGTTTAGTGTTTCATATATCTGATAACTTTCATAACAAATTGTATAGACTTCCATTCCCTCATCATCAAGAACATAAAAATACCTATCGTGAATGGAAAAGTCCATTTTTTAATTTTAACATGAGTAAGTCCTGAACCTTAGCTGACATTCATAGGAGATGTACATAAAAACAGTTCAAACATATGATAGAAAATTAAAAAAGGTGCAACTGGGGAAAACAAGAAAGGCAATTTAGTCCAGGGGCTTGAGGTTAAGGTTGGCAGTAATTAGGAAACATGTGATATTTCGCTTCACATAACTACATACCAGGATCATACAACATGTCGCTAGTGAAGATATTCTTGACAGTCATGTTGGCACACAGTCGGATGCTCTTTAGGTACGAGAACTTCCGATTGAGGTACATGGATAGTATGTAATGGAAGTCAAGACATAACACCGTCCACTTCACAGACATCGGGGTGGGACCACTGTTATCTACACAAAATGGAACAATTCAGAATAAACGATGTATATCAAGAACAATTCAGAATATACGATGTACATCAAGAACAATTCAGAATAAACGATGTATATCAAGAACAATTCAGAATAAACTATGTATATCAAGAACAATTCAGAATAAACAATGTTTATCAAGAACAATTCAGAATAACGATGTATATCAAGAACAATTCAGAATATACGATGTATATCAAGAACAATTCAGAATAAACGATGTACATCAAGAACAATTCAGAATAAACGATGTATATCAAGAACAATTCAGAATAAACTATGTATATCAAGAGCAATTCAGAATAAACGATGTTTTATCAAGAACAATTCAGAATAAACGATGTATATCAAGAACAATTAAGAATATACGATGTACATCAAGAACAATTCAGAATAAACGATGTATATCAAGAACAATTCAGAATAAACGATGTATATCAAGAACAATTAAGAATATACGATGTACATCAAGAACAATTCAGAATATACGATGTATATCAAGAACAATTCAGAATAAACGATGTATATCAAGAACAATTCAGAATAAACGATGTATATCAAGAACAATTCAGAATATACGATGTATATCAAAAACAATTCAGAATAAACGATGTATATCAAGAACAATTCTATTCAGATCTCAGATGTAGATGTCATGAGTAATACAATTCCTGGAAGATAATTACAGAGATACTGACAGAAATCTGGGAATTTCATAGATGATATATTATGTACTTATCATGCCTATCTGCCTGTGATAGTATCAAGTTTGCATCATATATTCAGTACTTATAATATAGAGTGAAAACTCAAACACCTCAACCATGGTCACCAGCTCAGAGTTACCTGCCCTTGATCCACCTGCTTCTCTATTGCAACGCAAGGACAGTAACCATGACGAGGGTATAATTTCTGAGCACAAGGACGAGGTTCTGAGGTTCAAGAAAGGAGGGGAACAAAATTATCAATTTCAATTGTTCAGGGGTGTGTTTGTGTCAAGAGTTTCACTCTGCAGTAGGATTATAGAAGAAGGGAAACTAACTGCATACTGACATAAAAAGGTAGTAATAATTAGGCCAAACAAAAAAAATGTTGCGGTTCTGATTACACCTCTTTAAAATTTAGGGTAGGTAGGAATTTTTTTTTTACATATTTTTTTTGGACGTAAAGTACAAACTAATAACACATTTATCAATGTGTAATTGTTTATTTAATCAAACTTGCGGCCATCATGTCGACTTTCTGATGTCTGTTGGTGCCAGGAAGAAACAATACTATCTGACAGCTTATTTTATGCATACCGCTTAAAAAAAAATAGGGTCGGCACCAGAATTCAAGGGTCGGTCAGGTAATCGGAACCACAACATTTTTTTTAGGCCTTACATCATGATAAAAATTCAGAATGTTATGTTGAACACTTCTGATGACTGAAGGTAGTTCTTTCTTTTCCTCAAGTAAAGAGGCATTGAATTAAATTTGCTATAAATGAGACTTAAACAATGAACATTCACTGAAAGTTTTCGTTCTTTTTACTGATGCATAGTGATCTTTGGCTTTCAATTAAGGATGACAGGACCCATTTACAGTTGTCCTGTGTCCGTGTTCTGCAATACTCACCCCTACAGCTGCTCCCGAAAGAGGAGTGGACAGATCCTCCAAAGGGGCTGGTGACAAATGGGAACTGTAGCCATGTTGATGTAGACTTAAACTCTTTGAACAGGTTTGAAAACGATATCCTCACGACAAGATTATCTTGTGTGGCAATGTCCAGGTGAACCACAAAATACTTGGATGGAATTGGACGGAACATCAGATAAAAGTATCGGCCTGTCAAACCCAAAGATTGTGAAGTTGTCTTTGGAAGCTGGATGTAGTTTCCGGCAGGAATGGAGCCAGTTACACGAAAAACTGTGCCCTTGATGACTTTGTCCTAGAAATTAATGGCAGATTAGATTTTGAAAAACCTTGAAATTCTAACATCTATAAGAAATACTAGTGGTACAAAACCAAACAGCAAATTTACTCCTATTAATGTTTATGTCTAACATCAGCACCATGCTTCTTTCTTTTTCACAGGTTACCAGGTGTTTGTGTTAAAGTAAAGAAAGAATACAGTATTTAGATTCTGGTATAGAAGCAACCATCTCAACAATCGTCTTGAAGTCAGATCTTTGACCTGCAATATGTCCTACAAAAGGCTTCTACATCTTTACACAGAAATTTATCAGAAGTGAGTAAAAGATCTTATTTCAGTGTGACTGACACCTTAAAGCAGTCTTTTAATATAATTACAGGAAGACGATTCCACTTGATCATTCATTTCACACTTGTAAGTCCACTGACTGCCAGACTAATTGTTAATTGCATGAGAGAGAGAGAGAGACAGACACAGACAGAGAGAGAGACACCTGAAATGGGCTCCACACATTGTACTCATGTGAGGAATCAAACCCGGGTCTTCGGCGTGACGAGCCAATGTTTTAACCACAAGGCTACCCCACCGCCCCTTTAAATGGTTAAGATGGTTATGGTTGCAGTGGTTTCTAGAGCCTCATAAAGAGTTTAAAGTAATACATCAACCATCAATCAGCAGAGTGTAAACAATGTCAACATACCATTGAAGATGAAACTTCTCCCTCTTTGGTTGATTTCTTCCATGATGCAATATTAAAATGTTTAAAAACATTAACATAGGGATGCTGCCATACTGAAATGAGAAAAGCTTATATGTCATCATGGTCATGTACTGTTATTATTCATGCATAAGAATAGTGTCTTCGTTATAAAACATAGGTAAATGAGGGGAGTGAGTGCAGGATTAGCTGTCATTTCCAACATTCAACATAGTTTCTTCTGTCTCCAAACTCACATTATATTGTGCATATTAATTCTAATTAATTCTACAATAGGAATAATAATATCAAGTGATTATTTTTTACAGGTGTCTCAACTCACTGAACATTTTGCATATAAAAATGCTCTATGCTTCAGTCCTGCCCCATAGGCAAGTGAGTTTGTTCCAAATTGCCTCTGTTCACCCAGTAGTGAATGGGTACCAGTGGGATAAGTCATACCGGTATGACTATTAAACTTCTAGTGCCTCACAGGCCACTTAGGTAAACCATGGAAATAATGTCCATTATGTTTTATGTGCTCAGTGCATGCCCCTGCAGTGTGGAATTTAGCGCCATATAAGTGGCCTTATTATCAATATCATTATGCTGCAGCAATGTAGAAGTACCTTATTGGCAGGTTATGTCTAACAAGACCAGGGATTTACAGGACGCGAATACCTGCGTCCTATACACATAAAAATTTACAATGGACGCAATGAAGTCCAGGGCCCTTATTCTGAAACGTTCGTAGCCTTAAGAATTCTTAACTTTGATCGTAGCCAATGTGTTAAGAATGGGCTTAAGAAGTTCGTAAGGCTACGAACGTTTGGAGAATAGCTAGCCAGGACCCCTGAAAATTAAGAGTACAAGTCCCAGGGACTCTCAAATAGAGGACTCAAGGCAAATCCCTGCAAGAACACATCATAAGGGTTATGTACAAAATGTTATGAACATAAATCGTAAATTTATTTTGGGTTTGTATGTTATGAATATAAATACCTGCAGTACATGGAAGTATTAACTACTATTATTTAGCATATTTAGGGTGTGTATCTCAACAATTATTAGTTATCAACTCAGAACCTGCAGTTTCAGAAAGACAGTAAGTCACAGTTACACACATAGCTTTTAATATATTAGCTGTATATACATAGACAGTATGTGGTTGCCAAGAGCTGTCATGGGGTTTATTATTCTTGTCTTGTTGTATCTTAAACCTTATATACGCCAACTCTGAAGCTCACATAAAATATCAACAAGTCTGAACATGTTTGTAAAAATACACCCAGTGTTCAGTCAAAAATCTGCAAAATATCATCTGATCCATGGTTTTTGTAGCATCTATTGTCAATTTCCCGAAACATATCGTATTCGTATTTCATATTACAGTTACAATTGCTACTTTTAGTGTTATAAAAGTGGTTTGTACAGTATTTTTGACATCGTGTGTGAAATGGATAGATATGACATCGCCGATAACATAATTAGAGGAACCGACAACAACAAAAAACTGCCAAATGCCGTCCCTTTGCAAAAACTTACGATGTGCCATGTCTGGATCTTTTGATTTCTATTTCTTTATCATAAATCGGTAAGTTTGTTGACACATTCAGAAAGTTTGTTTTGGTTTTGCCGCCATACTTCCGTCCCCGTGCGCTGATATTTCTGCGCGTCTTCCGTTTCCGATGTTGGTTGCCTCGCTCGTACACTGTAGTCGGCTAATGAAATGAGAGGGATAACGATGAGAGAGCCGACAAGTTGCCACGGAAGGAATAACAGTTATTAAGGAGATGTGTAATGAAAGTAAGTTGTTTACTCGATCTGATATTTAAGATGTATATTGTTGTTTGTGTATCATCAGTATATTTGTCGCTGTCTTGATTTACCCGCGAAATAGTGTACCTGCCGACGTCATCAGTGAACAAGGTAATAAACAGGTGCTTCTTTCAAATGTGTCAGCTGACTCGTTTGGCTGTATCAGCTATTAGTTATGGTAACTATTGGCAACATTTGCATATGTCGCAATAGCTCGGGGTTTTATGACATTATGTAATCAATATGAAAACCAATATTTTGAATACCACTTATATTTAGATTTTTTTATGAATTTAAAAATTCAAAATAATAAATTATTGAATTTTTACTTCAATGGATCTGCATTAACTTAATTTTAATAGTTATTTAATTTATAGCATTGACTTAATTTTGACAGTTACATAGTTGATAATTAAATTAAATCACAGGTAGTTAAAGATTTGTTTATAAATTATATACAGATCTGATATAGGTTTTTAAAATATATTAGTTATCTATCTACTTTGAGGAGGAAATGTTTTTTAATTTCTGAAAGCTATTTGATGCTTGCAATATTTGGTAAGAGTTCGGTAAGGTTAAGGGTTAGGTTTAGGGTTGGGGGAACGGAAGGAACTCTTTCCCAATATATTATAAACCTTTGAAAAAAATATTTCTTTCATAATTTCCTGAGTCAGTTTCCAATATGTATAACATTCATTACACATTTGGCCACTCAGAACGTTAGTTTTGATTATGTATTCATAATATTTTCCAAATCAATAGTTTAAGGTAAATACCAACGTCCAAAGTGATTAAAATGTAAATTTGTTATGTAAATGAGAAGCTATTAACACCAGTCACAAATTTGTAATGAGTGAAACTTATATTTATTTAACCATTGTTCTATCTGAAATAATCACATTTCTGAAACTTTTATTTGTCGTTCATAATAAAAACAAATTTTAATGTTTGTCAAAAGCCGTTATGGTTTCCAAGTCATCCATTGGCTCGTAACCACATTCAACCTGTAAATCATGCATGCTGGAAACATCAACCGTTATGAATTGAAAATGGGACCTTGTTTCCATGTTAACAATGACCATTAGGAGGGAAAGCGTTGCTACTTGTCTGGAAGCTATTTCATCTACAGGTGGCACGAGTTCCACCGGGTTGTTTGGACATATTACAACCATACTTCACTGTTCACCAAAGTTAGGGAGGAAATACTTGGAAGTTTTGCCCTTGGAACTAGTCTGATTACCAAGATTGACTCGGTTGTATGTGTTGAAAAGCATGTGCCTGTAGTGTTAATACTTGCTGTTGCCATATGTATGTGATCTGAAACCGTACCTGAAGTGGTTGCTGTTTCCTCATTCAAAATTCTGTTTTGTTGTTAGTTCAGCAAGTTCTAATAATAATCCTGTTAAACAAAATACCTGCTTCTTGAAATAAAAAAATTCATAATTCTGAGGGTAGTTATTTATGATTGTTAATCATTTGTGCCTCCTTTTAACATGTTTTAAATCATCTTATTCAAAGCTTACTAAATCTCATATTACCATAATTCTGTTTTTAACATGATTAAACTCACCCACTGAAAGTCATGAAGGTAGTTCTGTTGATATGTTGGTTCAATGTGCCCACTGTTCTATCATGTTTTTAGATTACAAAACTTCTGTAAAAGGTAATAGTTAAATGTCAACACAGATGTCTTTAGAAAAATCAATATTCAAACCTCATTTTGTGTCCATCCAAAAATATATTCCAATGACATGCATCTGTGATGTAACATCAGACATTCTAGTTTTGAAATACTAAATATTAAATTATTAAATACTATCAACATAATCAGAAAGTAACCGTGTCTGACCTGATGGCAAGTTGGGTCATATGATAAATTAAATATATATGACAGTATGTCCAGGCTGCTTCCTACATGATTTTGTTACATCTGTCACACGTATAATCTATCACTTGAGGGCTGGTAGACGAGCAATCGCTAAGGGTAGAGGTCAGGTCAGAGAGCGGGGGCCTCACAGTTCCTCAGTGGGATAGCTATATCATCAGTTATCAGATCATGGTAAACAGCAGTTGACTCACCTCACTTGGAGGGCTGTGTATCTAGTCGTGGGATTACACTTCCTTGGCCAGCCTCGTGGAAGACGTGTTTACATGATGTGCGAGGCGAAGTGAGCAGCTGTGAGTTTCAATTTGCTGTCAATTACTTTGAAATTTGGATTAAGTTTAATTATGTTTTTGTTTTTCTATCCATTTGATCCATGTCAAGCCACTTAAATATTCATAATGTATTGTGCGTGTTATGAGAAAATCTGGTGTCTTTACTTGTCTGTTTTGATATAGGTTTCATACTGAGCTTTAGACACTTGTCATACAAAGTAGTAATGAATGATGTACAGTTTTTGTTAAATATAAATCTGACAGCATAAGTTGATTGTTTTAAGGAAAGTTTTGATTTAATAGTTTGAGTTCACTCTTTGCATGTAGACTGAATGGTTGTCACAATTTTCAATCAATTATTGAAATATTTACTATTAAAAACAGACTTGGCTCCATGTTCTAAATTTGTATCATCTCATTAAATGTTGTCTGATAAATGATTGATACACTGTCCTTTGATAATTAGGGTAATTGTATGAAGCATAGCATCTTAGTTAGCATACAAAGTGGAGTTCTTCTGACATCAAGCAAAATCAATAAGATTTCAAATTCACCTGAACTTAGTGACTGCTAAATTCATACCTTGTTCATTAAAAAAAAATGTTTATTCATAATATGTACAAAATCACTTTTAAAATAAACAGAGACTATTGACATTTTATCTCAGGTTGACATGTATTGAATCGGATTAGTGGTGATCATTCATATTTGCCTGGAAGGATTGCCCCGAGAAGTAGATTAAGACAGGGTAATTACTTATCAAGTATATTTGTATTCATTGTGCTGTGACAACTAGCAGAGAGAAAGACATGAAATATGGGAGAAACCCAATCACCCCCTGTCGATTTGGGGGATGACTCACACGGTTGAAGGGGAGGCTGCATGCCTGGTCGCATGCATCTTGTGTCAAACTTAAAAATGACACAAAAGATTACAATTTTATTACAATATCACATGAGGCGAGGTATTAAATTTGTGTCTGCATTTAAGAGCCATTTTAATGCATTTGATTTCCGTACATTTGTAATTTCGTATGTTGGCCTTGACAACTCCATTTCAAGGACAAAGGTGTTTAGTATTTTCTCAATTTTAGCCTATTACTGAGATCACTTTATAGAATAAGACCATGATTTATATGATGTGAATGAATATGCTAAATAAATGTATCATTCATATCATTGTTAATACATTCTATTATGAAACTCGCAGTGATGGTGCGTGACAGTTTTTATGCCCAATGAAAATCATAAATGGAGATTTCTTGGTTTGAATCACAACACTGTACTTGAGGGAAAGAAATTTGGCATGACTCTCAGACCTAATTACATCTTTATCATAAGAGAAATATCAGCTAAATCTTGGGAGAAATCTACAGGTAAATTATTGTCAGTGATGTTCTTTTGAGTGTGGTGAAACCCAGCATGATATTGGAGTTAGTTTGCTGGTTACTTCCTAAGCATGCTTTGGCTTCACTAAAAGATTTAATAATTATACAGTCAAGGAATGTCATTGTACAGTAGATTACAATGTACCAATAGTTTATGTTAGTTTTTCCTGGTAAATTGGAATATGAATTTCATTAATGGTTGTAAAAATGGATAGGGCTTTTATTTACGCATACACTGAGACACAACAGAGACAATTCATTCTAGCATGCTCAAATGGCTTAACCTCAAGTGACTATCTAGTCATAATATTTTAAAATAATGATCTGATGTTCAGTACGATGGGGTTAATGGGTTTTTATTGTTCTTCTTCCATTTTGTAATTGGCTTTTATCAGCTTATGGATGTAAATTTATGAATTTATCTACTTTTGTTTTGCTTTGTCTCAATTCCATACAGAGATTCTCGTTAGTGAAAAATAGATTTGTTTTACTTTGTGTGTATTATATGTGATATATTTTGTAACGAGTTGAATCTTGAATTAATTATGTTTTTCTCCCCATCCAGGGCATTAGTCCATTATGACAAACTTCATAAATGTCAATTCCTGAATGTTAGTTCTTTTTGTTTTTGGTGACCATAGCAATAGATTTCTAGAATAAGAAAATGAAGAAATATCTATTTTCTTGCAGGGGAAGCAATAACAATTTGATTCAGTGTCTTTGATTAAGCATGAAAATAAGGCCTCCTGTCATAACCCAAATGTAACAAACTGCAGATTTTTTGGGTTGCTGAATCCAAATACCACAGCAGTGAACATAAAGGACCCTTAGGGCCCCTTAATTTCCAGTGAAGCCATTTGATTGCATTTTTTCAAAGATGAGGACTTCATGACTCACAGTATTTCAATTTTCTTTGCTAGCTGACTGACCAGTAGAGTTTAGGGCCAACAGCGCAGTCAGCCATGGCAATGACGAAGGTGAAGGGGCTGCAGATGTGGTGTCAGCGCCGCGTTGAGGGATACCGGGACGTCAACGTCGTCGACATGACCAAGTCTTGGAAAAGTGGCCTGGCCTTCTGTGCACTTATACACAAGTTCAGACCAGACCTAATGTAAGTGTTCATCTTTCAAACTGATTTCTTTATGGTGAAATTACAATACAATACATTTCTTTATGGTGAATTTACAATACCAGACATTTCACGGAGCAAGGAGTAGTATGTTTGCAAGACTTGAGATCGGATCTGTGAATGGTTTAAAAAATTAGTGAATCTGTGTTTACTGCAATAATGTTTCATAAAAATAATTTCGTTTTGTTTCACAACTTTTTTTGCTTTGAATTTGATTTGAGACAATTCTCTCTTTGTTTACCATATGTTTTGTTTTCAAGTTTGCTATTATTTATTAACAATAAACAGTGAGGTGCTTTCTGCAGCAATTCCCTTGAGTACAAGGGCCCAATATGAGGCCAAGGTTGTCCACATTGCATATGACCAGGTACATGTCTGCTGTACAAGTTGGGAAGAGACATATTTCTTTTACCTATCTTGTCCAGTTCTGCATACATCTTTCAATCTAACACAGATCAAATCTTAATCTCACCATGTCAGTGCTTGGATTTTTGGTGGTATTGCTGACATGAGACGTTTCTGCATAGTGTGCTGTACGGTGATGCTGTGTGAAACTGATTCTAATCATTTATCTTTTCTCCGTGTCTTATGTCCTCCATACTGATTTATTTTGTGGAAATGAAAACCTTCTGAAATGCTTCCTTATTTGTAAGAACTAACTAGGGGGTTGATCTCCAGTTTGTGTGTGTCTTACATTCTTTTCTGAAGACCTGTGATGGTCGATATTAAAATTGATCCTCAGCAACCAAGCCTTGTCGTAAGAGGCAACTATGAGATCAGTTGGTCTGACTCGCCGATTTGGTTGAAGTATGTCACCGTACCACACTTTCGTTGATTTTTATGCTGATTATATTAATCACCTGATTGTCTGGCCCAGAATCAATGATTTACATACCGCCACCATACAGCTAGAATATTGCTAACTGCAGACAACAACAAACAGAAGAAAAACGTATGCATGTAACTCTGAAGGTGGAAAAACTAGCATAGTGTTTTAGATACATAAATATTTTGTTGACATTGATATTTTTATAGTTGATTTGGATGTATGAATTGAGCAATAATGACAATGGGAACCTGGTAAGAGTTTCCGTATAAATCTGAAAGTCTATTTGGTCGTACTTGTAACCATCAGAAGTGATATCATAGCTAAAATGTCATGAAAATGCTGTATGATAGTTTAATGGGTGTCCACACGACGCAGTTGTGACCCCTAGGACTGTGTGTCTTTCTGTCCCAACTTACTGTGTTTAGAGTATACACACTATACACTTGTTTACCTGCTCCAGGAAATTGCAAATGGTAACCATTGGTCCTTGAGATATATTAGCTACAATATTAAATGTTTATTGAAGTGACAAATAAAAGTTATTGTTTTGACCTTGACATTGTGACAAAGGTCCTTAACTTTCTGCTTATGTTAAAACTCAGGTCCAATATTCCTATGAAACTGCTCACTATGAATAGGTGGAAAATTTCATAAAATTTCTGTCAAGACCATCTAGATATGTGGGCTTGGCCTTTTTTGTTGGAGATGAGGCCATTATTACGATAGTTAGTGTATATTATATATGATTCCTTGCCACTTGTAACAGGACTGCCTCCGTGGTGTAGTGGTTAGAGCGTCCGCCCGGAGAGCGGAAGGTGGCGCGTTCGATCCCAGACCGCGTCATACCAAAAGACGTTAAAATATGGTACTTGTTGGTCCCTGCCTGGCGCTCGGCATTAATGGGTACAACAAAGACTGGTCGGCTCAGAGTCAGTATAATGTGTCTGAGTGGGGTATTCATGCTTCACTGCGGCATGGTATCTCAGTGGTCTAGCACTATAAAAAAACCAGCTTCAGTCTGGGCTAGTACAAGCAGCCGCACATACACATACACACGCATGCATGTCGTCATATGAGCGAAATATTCTCAAGCACGACGATAAACCCAATTTCACCTCACCTCACCTCACTGGTAACAGACCTAGAAAACAGTGTCCCACTTAAAAGCCAAACTAACCTCATATTACATATCGGGGTCTAGTGGGATGTCAGTTAAGGATGCGAGTTTGCTGACCAAGGATTAAGCTCCCTGGTTTTTGTGTACTCTCACAACCTAACCTGTGTGAGGCACGCAAATATTGTTTGGTCAACAGCATCCGTTAAGCTTTTGTGACTTTCTCAGATGTAGGGGGATAAAACAAACACTAGGTGCTGACCACCTCACGATTATCGAACGTTAGGAGTTCAGTGACACACTTCGACTTTACCTGTATTTCTGACACACAGATGTTAACCATCAGTTTGGTTCTATGGCAATGTGAAGCGACTTCTGTTCCTATATCCATTGGCTGAATGTATTTGACTTTGAATGTGATGTTAGGATGTTAAGCCTTATCTATATATAGTTTTAGCAAGAGTATTCAGGACCACAACAGAACAACATTCAACAGAACAGCATCCTTAGAAACCCATTTCCTTTTATTTGACATTTGCTTTTCCTAAGGCCAAACAATCCTTCACTTGCGTTTGACGATATCTGAATAAATATCATTGTTTGAGTTCTACCTAGTGTCTCATTTATCTAATCCTGGCGGTTGTCGCTGGTTGATGCTTGACATGGTGGCTACAGTAATCTCTTCCTAAAGGCAGGAGTGACGTTATCGTGCACACTGTAACTGAATAATCCTGACAACATAGGTTTGAAAAATATGCACCAAGTCAGTCAACATTACACACTATTAAATTTTAATAGGAGATATATTTCTGGACAATTAAATCTGGGACCCTACCCACGAAATGTTCATAGCACTATGCCATTCGTAAGCCTGTGGTAAAGTTTAGAGTTACGATATGTCGTAACGTTACTAACGCTTTGTGGATTTGGACCCTGGTCAATTACATCTCTGTCCGGTCTAGAAGAAAATGTTATTGCTGTGTCTGAAGCTGAAGCATTGTCACTGTGTAATAAGGATGATCATTAATTGTTAGGTTGATACACATCAAATAGGAGTTAACAGACAAGTAATGAGGGTTGTGAATAACTGAAATCAAACTTAGATCACTATTAGAACTATCTTGTCCAACTTGACCCTTGTCAAGTGTATTGAACCTTTATCAAGTGTATGGGAATGTGGGCTGGTAGGTGCAATATTGCTTATTCAGCATTAATCATATACGTGATTTCATATATGAATTTGGATAAGCATATGTGGAGTCACAGAATCCATGACTTGACATATGTGACCGACTATTACATGTGGATCCAGTCAGTATGGCCAATGTACAGTTATAGTTCAGCTCGTGTGAAAGTAATGCAATGTGCGCAGGTGCGTGATGGTTATGTTCTACCAGATGCTCCTGTACTGCATTGTATGATCAATAATGTATTATCTGCATCCCTCTGGATTCACCAGACCATGACCGTCTAATGTCCTGCTCGTCGCAGTGTATAACTGGATTATTCATGTTCTGTGACTTTCAGTATTTTTGACACAGAGATATTTTGTAATGTGCTTTTCAGTATGATAAATTTTCTTGCAAAAAGGTTTTTCAATTCATCTCCATTTTGAGAACAAGTGCTGATAATGTTTGTTCTTTAAGATAACAATTGTTGAATTGTTTATAAGTTTATATAATTTTTTCTAGTTATCATTGTCATAAGTACAGTTATTGATTACTTCTTGAATTAATTTTTGATAAATTGCTTCAGTTCTGGAGATATTTGTAAATTGTGAAAATCTGAGCATGGTGTAATTCCTCATTTTGACATATTAAGCATTTTTAGTATGTTGGGTTTTGTTTGGGTTTTTTTTCAGTTTTAGCTTGTACTCCTGTACTAAACTGCCCCTAAACTGTCATCCATGCTGTTGTTTGTGATAACATGTATCTTGTTCTTGAGAATAAATGAAAAACAAGCTGATCTTGGTCAGGCAAGATTGAAGTTAAAGGCTATGTATGTCCTGCAGCAGACTAACGCTTAGTCTCCGAATATACATAATTTTGATTGTAACAAGTAAACCCGTTTAAATTGAAAAGGAGCCCCAGGTAGACCAGAGATTCAGAACGTAAGGAAATCTAGACTTGCTTCATTTAGGGCTTTAGCATTGCAGGGAGGGATAAGCTGTAGGGAAAATAATGTGGTTCAGGCACAGTGAGACAGACTAGGCCTGCAGAAACATGCATCCATGTGTCTTGAGTGCAGTTTTACGTCACATCGGCATTATTTCAGCCATATAGCGACGAGACCAAGTAGGTATTTATGAGGTGAACAGCATCATGTTTTAGTTCTTGGTACTCTACTGCCAGACTTGCCATAACAATAACCACAACAATTTCAATATTTTATTAGTTTTAAAAAAACCAGGTCATGATTGATAACTGGTCCTCTTTCTAAAGTTTGAAAAAAATAAGACAAATTATTGCAGCAAACATCAAAGGTGGTGGTTTTTGGAAGCCTTCTTGTATCGCAGTGATAATGTTTACGGTTGTTTGATCGGAAAACATCATGGCCGATCATGTGTCTTTGAGGTGTAGACATTGATTGATAAGATCAATTCAGGTTTTCCCTTCATTACAGCTGGTGATACGTTGTTTGTGTTTGACAACTTCAATCATTCCTGCTAAGACTGACAATTATCACAGGCCATGCATGTCTGCAAAGTCCCCATTAAAATAAGAAATAATTCAGAAAGAATATCACCAATATAGTTTAACAGGACAGTTATAATATAGTTTGTATGCTCGATCCATTGGATCACAGACATCAGTACACGACTCAAAAACATGTGAAAGGTGGAGAGTAGTTTTTTCCCCAAAAACTTTCATATAGACCTCACAATAATGTTTGAAATATCCTTGGAAGTCTCCTATACTTTATTAAGCATGTTTCTTCAATTCTCAAGATAAAGAGACTATGGGAGTCCTATATGTTATATACTAAAACAAGTTTTACGAAAATGTTGTCATTTCATCAACTAAATGTTGGTCTTGTATA